CCACTCGCCGCGGACGCTCTCGTGGATGATCGTCGATGGCCGTTGACCATAGGTGGTCTCCGAGGCCGAATAAACCTGGCGCGTCCTGCTCGAAACGAGCCGCGGCGCATCTCGGTTCGACCAGGCGACCGTGTCCGCTGGCTATCGATTCGTTTCAAAGGAAAAAAGTATCACCGTTACACGGCATTAATACGTTTAACGTAATCCGCGGGAAGCCTTCGTTAACCCCGGGCAGGAATCGTTCGCGCCGGCCTCGACGAAAGCGGATATCTTTGAGGGCGTTCCGCGACTCGGCAAAAAATCGGAACGCCACTTGGACCGGGCGGATCAACGACAGGAGGAAACGACGGCCGACGATCCGGGAGGAGAAGGAACGAAACCGAAATTTCTTTTCGCTCGGTTTCCCCTCGGCTCGCGTTCCAGATTTCTATGACGCGTGCAGCGTGATAAAGTACACTCGACTCGGGCTCCCTGTCTCTATTTCTCTTTCTCGCCGCTGCCTCGTCGCGTTTGTCAAGTTTGTCAAGTTTTTCGAGTCGCGCGGCGGAACGGTTTTCCTTGGGATTCGAAAATAATCCACCTAACGCGACCCACATACCGCGCGCGCCTCTCGGCTCACGGCTCTTGTCCCCCTAACGCCTCGACTAATTGAAACGTAATCCGAGGGTAATCCCGGAGCTGATCCGCGCGAAGCGATTCTTTTTGCTCGTCGACGCCGATCGGCCGATCACGCGTCCGCGTTTCTCCTTCGATAGAGGACCGGGTCGCCTGCCGACCGCCGAAAGGAGAGAGATAGCGTGATTTCTCCGACTTGTCGCGATCCGCGCGGAACGCCGGTCCGGGCCGCGTCGTTCGCTGATTTTCCACTCGAGACACGCGAACCGTTCGGACTGGAGCCACGCGAACGACGGAGACTAACCTTGTCTGGCCGAGTATCGGGCTCCGAACCTTTACACCCGGCAGAACTGTTTTCGCGTCATTTGCGAAAGCTACTCGGAGCAAAAGTTTCTTTTCTTCGGCGAGTACTCTCGAATACTTTTCAACTTTGGCCGATATTGGACTCGACTCGGCGCTGAAACTACCGAGCTCGAGACGACCCGTTTCTCCTTTCTTCTTCGACGACTATCGAGGAGGCGCTCTCCCGAGGAAATTTACGAGCGGACAGATTTCGATGTTTTTCGAGTAAAATAGAAAACGGTCGACCGCGCTGCTCGATAGCCCCGGCGCGTCGATTAACTTTGCATCTTATCCGATTCGGGAGTGTAGCCTGGCCTGGCGCGTAAAATGCGGGTAATTGGTAACCACGGGCCGGCTCTAATAGGCTCGGCCGGGCCGAGGCGGATGGAAGAGAATGGACGGTCTTTCGCGTCGGACGTGCCAGCTGAGCGGCCGATCAAGAGGATTGCGCCTGGCCACGCGGAATAATGCACCGGTATGAATTATGTGGCTGGTCGATCAGACATTTGCCGCATTATCAGCCTCGTTCGACCAATCGCTATCATCCGCGGCCGGAGGCTCGGTTAATGGGAACTCGATTCAAAGACGTCGACGGTAAACGAACGTTGCTCCGACGCACCTGGCGCCCCTAATTGAATTGGCTGTTTCGACGGAAAGAAAAGGAGGAAACGAAACTAAACTGTACGAAAGGAAAGCGCAGGGACGAAAAGGTAATCTCGATCTTGTTCCGGCCGACGTATCGAGCGAGTATTAATTAAGAACCCCGACGGGATAAGACGTAGACGAAAAGCGATCGGTCCTAGTTGGAAAGTTCAGCTGCTCGACGCTTCGGGAACGATAAGAACTTTCTCGCCGGCTTGTCTCGAAATTCGAGTTGCTCGCTTCGCCGTGGCATTAGTCAATTATATTATTCATGATAGATTACCGTGACGCCGAACAGCGTGGCGCGGAGTTGCCGCCTACCTGCGACCATAACTCACGCTTGTCGGAAAATTCCTTAACGCTGAAATCGGCGAGAAACCGGCGATCCAGAGTGGCGCCCGAGCTACAAGCCCGTCCGCGGCGTCGGCTGCCCGTGGCTGCGGGGCGCCGATGTTTCGCCGACGTTAACCGAACAACCGGTACCTTGATCCGCGACCTTGCTCGAAGCCGCGAAAAATCATGAAATACGGAGCAACGCGCGCGACGAGCCCCCGCCCCTGCGAATCAATAATTCAAAGTTCCGGACTTCGCGGATCCCGGATAATAATTCAAACCCATCTTCGGCGACGTTCCGAGGCCAAGCAATTTACAGAAGCGCGTCAAACATTCATGGCGACGACGATGCGCGAGCTACCGGGACGTCACGGGCTTTTTCGGGAGAACTTTCCACCTTACGTTTTCTCGCGTGGTTTAAACGATCCCGCGTTCGAGACAGACGGATTATCGGGTAATGTATTCGATCCAACGGGACACGGCGGAATGCGATAATGGCCGTTAATAACCATCGAATTGTATAAAAAAATAAGTGGGGAAAAACGGTGCGGGTTAAACGGTAAAGTTGCCGTGCGGCGGGCGCAATCGAATCGTTTCGATATTTGTAAAGAGGTCAATTGAACGGTTACGAATCGCGGGCAGCTCATTAACTCGCGATTGTTCCGCGCCCCGACCACCCGGCGCCGCGGCGCCGCGGCGCGCTCAACGATATCGACGACGCGTTTGCTTTCGTCGATCGTTTTTATCGTTACACGAGCCTTGCGCGCATCAGAGACTTGCAGCGGCAACTTCCTCGTCGAACGTTGCGCTCGGAATTGTTCGGTAATTGCGATTGATCACAGTGGACAGCGGAACGGTTAGGTCGACGCCGATCAAACGTCTATAACTTTGCCGCCGCTCGATATAGCTCGATGAAATTCCGAGGAGTCGATCGTCACGAGAGTCGTTGCGTTGTATTCTTCGTTTAAACGGGACTCGAACGCCGAGAACTTTCCGAATGCTTCGCTTAATAGTCATTAACGCAGAAGTTCCGAAAGTTTTCAGGAATTTCTTTCGAAGCACCGAATTGTCTCGTATCGAAAAGTTTGCGCGACAATCGCCGCGCCGCCGCGTCTGGGAGAAAGTTAATCGCATTTCCCGTGCAAGGCGCGATCCTCCTCGATTCCGCGTTGCGCGCTGGCTCGGTAGAAAATCCAGCAGTTAACGAAAGATGGAGGATTCGCCTTCTCGTCGAATAATTTGATCAAAAATCGATTTAGAGGGAAATTCGCGCGGAACTTTTCCATGTCTACAATACGCCCGCGACCTTTAATATCCTGCGGGCGATATCCTTTTTCTCGTCGAGCAGACTAGCCTTTACGTAAGAACGACCGAAGAGTGCTCGCCGTGCTCGATAGTTTTTGCCGACAGGACCGTCGACGCGACGAGGAGAAATTACACTCTCGCGAACGGTGAACGTTACAGAAGTTTCCGAGCAAAGCACGGCGAACAAGCATCCTGTGGCAAACACGAACAGGCGAAACGTAACCTGACCAAAGCGAGACGAAATTAGACCGAGATCGAACAGCTTTCGATCGATCCTCGGACTCTCGGATCGTCCTACGCTCGGACCGATCCCACTCTCGCCGCGTTTCTTACATAAGTAAATGTGGGCGCATCCGTCTAGGTGGTAAGCCGCGTTAAAAATGAGCCCCGCGTTAGACGAGAGACGGAAACGATTCGTTATCGCATTACGAGACGTCATCCGAGGAAAATGGAAACCGCGGCAGCGTTTCACGTAGAAAAAAGTGGACCCGTCTTCTTCCGAGTACTCGGAGGAAAATTGATTTCCTCTTCGCGGAAAGGAAAGCGATCCGTGTTATTTCTGTGTAGAGTAAAAATTCCTCGAACCACGGAAACGCGAGACGAAGCGAAAAGTCGTTTTATTATCGCGGCCGCCCGCGACTGGATTCGAAACGGACCTGGCGCGGTTTAGGGAAGGTTTCTTCGCGGTTTCTCTCCTCGAGAAACAGAGAAGGGAAGAGATTTTTGCGGTTCTCTCGACTTTCCGCGGTTACCGATTGGTTCGATTACGCGGCGACAGTCGCGATAGCCGAGAGCTCCCTTCGGATTTCTATCCCACGCCGGGAACGCGGCGAGCAGCGTTGACCAACGCGACGAAGATAGAAAGAAGCCGTGCTTTTCCATTTCCCCCAATTTCCGGCGAAGAGCTCGGCGTTAGAAAGTTTCCACCGTCACCGGTTCGACCGTTCGTTATTGCGGAATATCGCGAAGACCTCGCGCCGGGGGTGCGGGGAGTTGAATCGATCGGAAACTAATAACTTATATTGAACTTCGCGAGGGTATCCAGTGGGCGACGCGCGTAGTTTCGGGGATATCGATGCGGCGACGACTGACACTGCCCGGAAAGAAACCGTTTCCCTCGAATTTCGAGTCGTCGTCCTCGCGAATTGTCCGGTGACGGTATCACGGTGATTATACAGATTTTCCTAGAAAAACAGTTATATGCCAGCTCCTTTGCGTTCCTCCGACGGATCGATCGAGTTCGGAAATTGAAAAAGCAGCGAGTTCCGGGTAATCGCGTCAGTAACGTTCTCCCTCTGTTTGCCTCTCTGGGAAAGTGAACGCGAAATATTAAATTCCGCGCGGTCCGATATATCGGTGATGAATCTCTTTGAAGGGGCAAGAAATTGCCGGCAATAATTTGCTCCCTCGGCGCGAAATTGGAAGCGTTTGGATCTACCGTTGAATCGGGGCCGTTAATTACGGATAAACGAGAAGAAGAGTGACGAGGCGAAGGGATTCTCGTTGAAAGTAATCGATTGGCCTCCCCTCGAATCGAGTATTTAATCCTCGATCCTTAAAACTGTTTAAGACGGAGGGAGCCTCCGCTTCGCTTCGCGTGGCGTCGCTTCGCGTGGCGTCGGAACGCGGGCGCGCGCTCATTAGTCGAGCTAATGGACTTGTCTCCACTTACCTGTAGGTAATGAAGGCGAAGACCAGCGCGACGAGGGACAAGCTTCCGCCCAGAACGACGATGAGACTCAAAACGCCGTCCTGATCGAACGAGCTGCCGATTCCCGTGGAAATTCCATTAGCGAGGCCGCCGTTCGGTTGGGGGTACCCATGGATCGCTCCCGTGTAAAGCGTCTCCATTTCTTCGCTACACAAGCATCTGCGAGCGCAAACGAGTCGAAGCGTTTCTTAAGTGAGTTACGGCAGCGAGGCGTGCTCCTTTCCGAATCGTTCCTAAATCGTTTCTAACTCGCTCCGAAATCGTTCCGCGAAAACAGGGCGAGTCGGGAAACGCGGCCAGCCGATTGAAAGGTACGCCTTTAAAGGTGTATCGTAAATAACCACGAACAGCGCGAGAGAACGAAACGGAACGGAACGGAACGGAACGGAACGGAACGAGAGCAATATTCTTTCGAGCTGTGACACCTGGAAAATAATTTCATTTGCCGCGTCGCGCCGCCGCGCCCCGGAAAGGCAAATTGAAACAGGTCCGGTAATTTCCTGTAAAGAGGCGAATCAAAATGGCGCCCGGCACCAGCGACCGCAAATTGCGGCCTCCCCCGCCCACCCCCTTCGACGCAAATTCCGAGTAATGCACTACATTTCCAGCTGTCGCGTAATCACCGTTAGCCAAGCAAATTCCACGGTTAATTGTCGCGTCGAAGGGAACGTCGAACGTTTCGCCGGGTTTTCGCGTTTGTCGCGTCCTCCTCGGCACGCAGAAATTCCGATCGATTCACCGATCGAGCGAATTCGCGTGACTCTGCAACATTGAACGTGGATCTCGATCCCCCAACGGACACGCGACTTCTAGTTTGTTTCGAGCCGCAGCTACGCTCGAGTATCAACGACACCGTTTCACGATCAAAGTTATCGTCCGAACACGGTCCGCCGCGTGTCTCGCCGCTCAGAAGTAAGAACAGTCGAAAGAGGGACGGTGATTTTTCCGGGGGAACCACGTCGGCCGAGCACGGCTCGCAAATAAGTCGAGCGATCGACAAACTGGCCGGTCGTTGTATATTTTTCTATCTGGTTTTGCGCATGGATTCGGCACTCGTTAAATATAGTGACCTTATCGCCTCGGTTTCCAGCTCGATTCACGAGAACGCTCGGTAAGCCGTCACAAACGAACTGCCGGTACCGGTGCCGCCTGCCGACTGATACCCGATACCTCTTTTCTGCCCGTTAATGGTCCGCTAATGCCTCGATTCACGGTTTGCCCGGCGTTTACCAGCGGAAAGCGTGCGCTACCGTCCCAGCGAATCACACGCGAAACGGATAACGCGTCGAGGAAGGTTAACGAATTTCCTCGCGGCGCGATACGCGCTGGAAAGTACCTTTTCTTCCGTTCCAACGTCTCTGCCGTTCGACGAGCGAGTCGACGCAAGCCGATATCCTCGTCCAATTAACTCTGGATTAGCTCGACTCGGTGTATCGCGCGTGCTGCCTCTCCAAACCGGAACAACGTTTGTTAACGAACGCGGTGCGGTTTCATCCGGGACTCCCGCGTATTTTTCTCCGATAGTTCCCGCCAATTTATCGCGATATTCCTTATCGAAGAGTCGATCGCTGCGAGGTATATTTATCGAAGGTAAATATTATAGTACCACGAACGCCGAGATGAATGAGTTTTCCATCCCGCGGATACGCGTTCGATCGTTCGTATAGGAGTTTAAACGCGAGTGTCTCTCTAGGTTAGTCGCGTTTCCAACGGGTCCCGCCGCGAGCACGCGACAGTGTAACGAGAGTGCGAGGATATCGAGGATAAAAGTACGAACGAACGAGAAAGAAAAGGATACTCACCTCACGAAAGGAGAGGTTCGGCTCGTCGAGGAATATTCGGAAGAAGGGATCGCGGAACGACGCCGCGAGGCATGTCAGATTCGGCGAAGCGTCCGCCACGTGCCGGCGAACACGTGCTCGAGGCGAGAAGACGGGAGCGACGAGTATTCGAAGACCGTGGTGCTGCTCAAGCGATGGATCGACGCACGGGACCGCGAACGAAACCGCGCCCCTGAAGAAAGGGGAGCTGCGAAGGGAACCGTCGTGCCCCGTTCCTCGCGTGCACCGCACACGCCGCGAACATCCTCGCGACAGCGTGCTCCGGCCCCCCCTCCTGTCCTAGCAACCGCTGCTCGGCTATCGCTCTTGTTCTCCTCCTCGTTCTCGCTCCAACGATCGATCTGACGAGCGAAGCTAACGCGCGGTACGTATGCACGATCGCTTTCGTTTCCGTATCCCTCGAACCCCTCCCACGAACGCTCGCGACGAAATACGCGGTTGCCGCTCGCCTCACACGCTCGAGATTACCGGTCGGTCGACTACTCGCTCTCCCATCTCGGCCCGATCGACCACCCGTTCGATTCGCTCGAGATTATCGCCGCGATCGATTACTCGCGCCGTCTCGTTCGCGATCGGAAAGTCGACGGTTAGCACGGAAATTGAAAACGCACCGTCAAACGGGAATCGTTCGTTGTCCGACGGCACCGATATCTCAATATCTGTCCGGGAGCAGCGTTCGAACGATCCGATTGGCCACGCGTGAACCACGGAACCGTTTCGTCGACGAAATGTTCCGTCGCGCCGATGGCAGTCGGAACCTTGGAAATAGTTCAACGGTGTTCATTTGAAATGCGGTGCGAGAATTCGGAACGAGGTGTACGCCTCGTCTCGTTACGCGGAATGCGGATACATGGCCAACATAGGAACCGAGCGCGAAGAAGAAATTAAGAGGGGAGCTTCACGCGTGATCGTGTACACTTCCGTTCGTCGGAATACCACGAAAAAGGAACGGTGTACATGCGAACTGGTCGAGCGACGCCGCCAAACTGCGAGTGAAATTTGTTCGCGCTTAAGTCGCTCGCGCACTTCGAACCGCGCATGTACCCGAACAATTAGGTACCGAGAGGAACCAATTCTTTCTGATTCGCCGAAACTCTCCGGGGGCGTGTAACGTCCGATTTTGAACGGTACGTAAAGATTTCGTCACGCTATAGAACGTTGGTCCTTTGTCCACGCCGGAAATATCGCGAACGAACGGGTAGGGACATTTCGAAATGCGAACTGTTAGTCGGTCGCGTGCGAATTCCGGAACGCTTCGTTCTCGAACGCGTTGGACCAACGATCGCTCTGTTCTGTTGCGATGTATTATTTTTATTCAATTGTCTGTTATCTGTTCATCGCTCGTTCGTGGATATTAATGCTAGAACTGAACGAATATAGATAACCAGACAAATTTCATTAGATAGATTTGAATTATTTAGGACTCGTTTAAAACGCTGTCCATTTGAAAATAATGGAGTCGTTTGCGGGCGAAATAATGAATCTCGGACAATCGATTATCGAGAAGACTTATTTATCGATATATTAACCGTTACCGTGAAATATCTGACTTAAATAAACAAATTGAAGCATAAATCTGTTCACATATAGCTGCAGTCCTTTATTTCTTTAGAATAAAGCAAAAGGTAAACCGCGTAACCATACTGTTCGATAAATCGATTACTACGCGCGTGTCGAATGTCAGTTTTAAATAAGTTTTGATATTTTAATGCAACAATTCCGAACGAAAATGTCCTGAAATGGAAACGATTCTAACGAAAATAGCGAAACTGTCGACGATTCCGTTGCATTTTATAGTTTCTCGAAACATCGTTCATCGGCTGAGCATGAGATAATTAACCGTTTCGCGAAAGGTAGTTTTTAATATGTTCATACGTATTTACAATCGCGTTGGGATAGGAAATCGAGAACGATTACGAGGGAAATCAGGTAGATCGTTTGAAAAAGAAATCTTTGCGAAATTATAGAAAATTAAAGTCTAATTCTTAGCTATAAAATATGTATTCGATGGAATAAAATCCAAGTGTTAATTTTACATACAGAGAACAACTTCAGATCTACCAGCGAGTAGAGACTTTTGCTGTTTTTGTTGATTTGTGCACAGTTGAAATACAAAATCGGTGGCATGTTCGTCGTCCCAATTGTCATCGCTCGTTTATTCCTGGTTCTTGCCAATATTCCCAGACACGTTGGAACGAACGATTCTCGATAAAATTACAATTCCTTTTGTCAGCTTACAATTACGTAATATAGCGTAAGAGCAATTCTCAAGTGGCGACGCATCGGACACGCGTCTTTCCCGTCATTAAGTTAGTTAATTTACAGAAATTTACATGCATATCACAACAATTATATTACACATACAGTATGTCAACCTATAGTTCCTAGTGTTGAAGCTTTTGGTATAAGACACAGTCTCCCGGAAAAATAATCCCACCATTTTGCTATCATTGACAGTATTTATTGGTGTGTCATTCGAGACGTCGATCGTGCCTAACATATAATGTTAACGAAACGTTAAGAGAATTTTTCTAAAAGGGCTAGACTTCTTACACCTGAAAACCTCGATAAGAGGAGCTGTATGACACCAGACTCGCGAGAGCCTGTAACTTTTGAACGAGTCAACCTGTTAACCAGCTGATACTTTGACCACGAAAACCCCCATCGTATCACATGATACACATGAAGTTGTAACGCATGTACCTTGATACAACCTAATTTATACCGTTGTTGTTATTACAATGGAACTAAGCTGAAAAGTTTTTTGAGAAATATATAGAAAAACATAAAGAAATGAAAAACAATCGAAGGAAACGAAGGAAACATAGATCAATAGAAATGTCGAATTAATTTGTTTTTCCTAGTTAACAGGTTAAGAAACGAGAAAGATCAGTCTATAGGACTATAGTCATTTGGTAATTCTATCTCGTGGTACGTCTCGGCGATCCATCCAAGTAAGTATTTCATTTTCTCTGCCGTTTCGTCCGATGCTTTGAAATCCACCATGGCTTCCGTTAAGCAACTCGACAGATGTTTCAATATAGGCTACAAGCAAACAGAAAAGTATAAATATTTTCATTTTTCATATCATTCTTCCAATGATTTATATGACTTTATTACTCGATCAATTAATCGATTAAGTTAAACGTTTAAATCGATGAAGCTCGTTAACTGGAGATAACCAGTAATTTTCTCGTCGGAGAGTTCATCTACAATTATTTATAGATTTTTTTGTTTTAAATACGCACTTAGTAGGAGCACCTAAAAAATATTTACCGCGGGCCAGTCTTGTCTAAACAACGCTACACACTGATCGCTGAAACTGTCGATGTCTAGAATGTCCTTTGCCATTAATCTCTTAATAAATTTTCCGAAAAATGGCCATACGTAATCTTTTTCTGGTTGCGCCAATAGCATAACATTCCGCGGACTAAACATTCTGTATATAGGAGAATCCGATTCTAAGGCCTTCCAACGACTCATCGACCACACTTTAATGAATTTGTCTTGAACCTTCTCGGTGAACAGATCACTCCGATAAGCAGCTGTAAATGTAAAAGAACCCTGATATATTATCTTCGCGGATAGAAAAATCGATAACTGGATAACTGGTAAATCTGTACCTAGCAACAGAGCAAAATCTAAACTGAGAAAATACAAAATTTTCTCAGGACCAGCTAAAAGGTCGGCCCTTTCGGTCAACGTTTGATAAAGGTTGTCTAATATCGTTGTGATTGAGGTCATCGTTATGTAAGATACTCCAGCATTATCGAGTATATCCCACATAATCTCCTAAACAATTTCAATGAACGAAAGTATCCTTTGATTTTTAGCTTAATCAGAAAATATTTCAAATACACGTATTATATATACGTACTCTTAAGTCGTCCATGATAGTAGTTGGACTGATAGCATTCGGATTATGTTTTTTCTCTTGAACAGTATGCAATGGTGAACTATTCTTGAAAAATCTATTTAATTCCAATTCCATGTCTTTTAAAAATAATGAATCCACTATATAAGATTGTATCCACTGATGTATACGCTCAGTAGCCAGTCTCGTTGCGATTTTCACACAAATTTCTTTAACCGACGTTTGAGAGTCTTCTGCCAACAAAGATTCTATAGATTTAACAACACGCGTCTCGCAAATTGTCGGTATAGATAATTCGCATTGATCCTTCAGTTCCTTGGACATATTTGCAGCTAACATATTCATTTCACCCAGTACGGACGCCTGTTAGTGTTATATGATTGTGATTAAAATAATATATCGAATGCAAGAGAAATTTATAAAAGAATTTACAAATGACCTTGAAATGGGAAATATTATTGAACAATGTTTCTTCTTCCTTTTCCGATTGTCTTTCGCTTTGCTTTTTCTTCAATATTTTCCCAAAGTTGTTCAAGTTTGCTTCTCTGGAGGACGTCAGTAGAGTATTACATATATGTTTAATGCAAACCGAGGCGACCCTTTCCGATACAAAATCAACAGTTTTCCAGGTAGACGCTGGTTGTCCGTGAAAAAATGCTTTCTCTAGTTGTAACTAAAATGATATGTTCACAATGTAATATCGTTCATCAAATTTTTGTATAATTCATAAGCTTACCTCTAAGTTTCTTACACCTGTGCTTTTAGTAGATTTCAGTAATTGACTGGAAACGGGAGTAATGTGCTTATTCGAATTGCAATTGTTCGAATTCATTTTGGTGTTCGGTATTGGTACTTGTCCAATTGTAGGGCAGCATATACGTATAGTGTTGTCATTAATGATATTTAACTTGTCCAAATTGCATTTGCTGGATGCCACAGGATCTATCGATTCTCCTAACAATACATATTTTTGCACATAATGTTTGTCAAGCTGCTCCAAATTTTTTAATTCTTTGACTTTGCATGCCTTTTGCCACGAAGGATAGAAATCCTTTGGAAATTTTGGTAGATCAAATAACCAACTTAAAGTAGACTTCAAGAGTATCGCCGTTTGCCTAGGAATGGTAGTATCCGGTGCCTTAGAATCCTGATTGTTTACAGCTTTGTATATGTAATACAATAGCTCTAATACATGTTTATAATATGGTAATCGAAGGGTCACAGTATCCATCATAGCCAAATATTTTGCTACCCAGGGCACAGTTAATGATAATCTTCCTGATGCTATTGCATTTTGAAGGCAGAGATGTAGATGTATCGTTGGTAACATCTGAAAAAAGAGTGTAACATTAGTTTCAGGTGCTAATAGTATAGATATATCAGACTTAACTATACATTAAATGTATAACTTACCTTACTTCTTATTTCTACCTGAGTAGCTATTAAATCTTGAAAGTTACTTGATTCTGATTTATAAGGTATAGACATAATAAGTCCTAAGATTTTTGCAAGAAGTCGTAAACTGAATAAACAGGTGCTAAAATTTTGTTGTGTTTGTTCATCGACCATTGTTTCTATTATAAATAAATAATATTTAAATATTAAAAAACATCCAAGTATAAAGAAGCATCTAACCAGTTACTCTATAAAACATATCAATACCTGAATCTTCTATTTCACTCCCACTGAACTGGGTATCGTTTAATTCCATTATTTCATGAATCAAACAGTTTTCTAAATGAACATAAAAAATTGGATTAAAAGCAAACAATATGAAGTCTTTGAAAAATTCTTGAACTCCTGGAAAAGATGGTTCCATGACTTGATTTTTGGAGGGTTGTGGAGTTACTAAACGTTTTTGAAGTTGATTCAGCTTTTGTGGATTTACATGTTTTAAAGCTTTTAAAAAACTTATACTTTCAGCATCTTCTTCCTCCAACTAAAAAGGAAAAGGTGAAACAATAGAATAAAAGTACATATTTGTCATAAATTAGGGGAATATTTATACCTACCTGTAGTCTTTTATGTACACATGAAATTAAAAGTTGAGATTTAAACAATCTTGCAAAATGATAATAATTTATAGCATCATTGTGCAAAGTCAACATACTTCGTATTTTACTTCCTAGAGCTATCTGAAATGTCCATCCTGGTACTGTATGATTTTCTTCCCACAATCTAAATATTTCATAAAATGCATCTCTTTGCTTTTTGAAAGACTGAAAGGCAGTTACGGATGGAAAGTTTTCTCGATTATCTGTATCTATTTGAAAGCAAACATTTAATTCTCCCATTGTTTTCTGATAAGCTAGAAAAAATAAGAAATATTTTCCATTATAAAAATTGAATTACTAACACCATAGTAATATAATTTTCTAATTAAAGTTAATTTTGGTTTAAATGAAATAAAATGATTACAGGCGTGTTTAATGAATAATTAATAAACTTTCCTTAAATTACATGTATTAATGAAATATCTTCTTTAAGAAATAAAAGTCTGTACTTAATGTAAATAGAAATGTTCAAATCCATGTATAATATTTTGTAACGTAACTTATTTAAACATATATTTTGATAAATGTGTTATATTTGGAACACATGTTCTCGCATGAAATATGTTAACATACTCGTTTACACTTAAATTGTCAAATGCATGACGTTGATGTCGACAGGTATACAAAATTTGTAGGTTATATTTACAATACACAATCAAATTTTCGTTAATGAAATAAAACTTGCACAGTATTGATACACGTAATTACAATCTGTTTACTGAAAATTAATTTAATTATCGTAGTATTATATTTTATAATAGATGCATATTAATGCCTTAATGCTCCACATCCGATCGTTGACGGCTTTCATATCATGATCTAACGGTATCCATGTTGCTTTTAAAAATACATTAGTAACAGTCGGTAATTTCTGTGTTTGTAAACTTCTTCGTTTCAGCGAATTACGAGGTTTATCAATATAAATAATTTATATCTTTGTAAAATATATATATTTTATTTTGTCAATGTACAAATATACACTTATATACAGTATATTGAAATGTATGTTACCACAAATGAATGGAAAGTATATCATGTGTGATTTAACTTATTTGATTTCGTTCCTTAAAACGTTTTTTTTTATCCTTAAAGGTATTTACGGTGTTATATCATCATTGAGATCCAACAAGGGGATAACTAGCAGCAGTTGCGATGCCGCAGTTGTTCCGTTCATTCCTAGCCATTTTAATGTAACCGTTGTCACCCCATGTTGTTCCCCAACTGTTCTTTACCAACCAATAATCTTTACCATCTTCATCAGTTCCATAACCTATTACTAATACTGCGTGATCCAAGTCTTCCGAAGAACAATTTGGTTCATAATAAATTCCTGTAATTTGAACACAATGCGTAGTATAAATACCTTCAATGAACTTAATTTAAAACCGTAATTTGTAATTGTTATGTTTCCAAGCAATACACGATACATTAAAACAATGTTTATAATTATTCCCAACCAACCTTCAGAATAAAACTGGAATGTTTCGTGAGAAGCATCAATAGCAACAGAAATTGGTCCTACAGTAGCAACAGCTGCTTTGAGTTTAGCTTCATCGTTTGCGGGAACGTCTACGAAACCAATATCATCGGCACCGCTGTTCCTCGGATTGTATCTATAATCAAGAAAATAATTTTAATACAATATTGCTCTTTTAATAAAAATTTCCTTTAGGCAGATTGTATCATTATACATTACTGTTACCTGCACTTATCATTTATCGCTTCGTATGGATAACTTTCTTCCGTATCGATACCATGATTTTCTTTAATATATTGGAACGATGCGTCCGTCATTCCACCTTGACATCCATTGTTACCATATTTTCCACTGCAATCAATTAAATTTTGTTCACTTAAAGAAGTCAGAACTCCTTTAGTACGGAAATGTTGTCCTTCCAGAGCTCCAACCTACAATCAAAATTTCATACCAGGTAAAAAAATTAATTTAGTAACAATAATATGTTAAATAAATTTAATTAGATACTGTTAATAATATACTTTACCGATGAGAATGCCCAACATGAACCACAGTGCCCCTGATCTTTAATTGGAGTAACAGCTCCACTCTCTCTCCAATCTACAGATTCTGGTAGTTGAACATTTGCTGGTTCAACAAACATAGCTCCAGTATAAGATGGTCGAGTTATAGTATTTACGGATTTGTTAAAACCATTTAATACATTTATAAATTCATGATGAAGCTAAAAATATAATATTGGAAAATGTAAAAAATGAAATAAATATATATATATATATGCATAAGCTATATAAATATTCTTTACCATATCTCCATATTTGTTCATCTTCAATTTATAGCCAACTTGTTTTTTTTCATAATTAGTATTATGTTTTGCAATTTTATGTTTGTTATCCATGAATATCTTCATTCTAAACTTTTCTTCGATATCAGACTTATACTCTTTCGAATGTTCTGTCTGTAAATAAATAATATGAAGTATTTTTTACTTAAAAACATAATAATAAGAAATTCATAAATCTATAATTAGAGATTATTACAATTTTACATTATCCATAATGTGTATAAGGCTAACCTATAGTAATATTTAATTGCTTCACGTTACTGATATACGTAAGAACATAAAATTTTTTAGTGTTTCACACAAATAAACGCAAACGTTAAATATGATCATTGTGCAAATGATTTATGTACCTTAAATGACACCCATTCTTCTTTGACAACTTCGAAGAAGGAAACAGCTTGTGCTGTGGCAAATATTGCCACAATTAAGAATAATAAGATTTTCATGGTTCTATATTTTATCTGAAAGAAAGTACAAAATATTAACTTTATTTAATATTGTTGAAATATATTTTGTTTAAAAAAACAGGTTCTTTTGTTCCTTGTTTCAATTCTTTTTAAATGATACGATTGTTTTCATATTTTCGTAATGTAATATGAAATTAATGTTAAAAAATTATATATTATACCGTATTCTTAAGAAATACCAAGGACATTATTAACGAGCAAAAATTCGTACGCGTAACAACAAAAGGATGCAAGACATTTTATTATTTAAATTACACAAGTAATAATGACGAAAAACGGAACATATTTTCAAGTATTGCTGTATTCTACGCGTAAAAACAAAAGACGCAAAAGATTATGTTAATAGTGACGACATTGAAACTAATATTTCGCGTTAACGTATGTATCCGAGGGGGATCATCGAACAAAGAGATTGTATCGATTTTCATTTTTGCTATAGAATGCGCTCAACGTTCGTTAAGAAAGGAAAATGTCGATCAACCTGTCCGAAGTCACCGTAGGTAAAACAAAATGAATATGAAAGATTCACTTTTATTAGATTTAGAAACTTTCAAACCGTTTAACAGTGGTTAACAATGACAGTTTAAAGTCGTAGCATGTAAACATATTTCCTCGAATAACAGAATATCTTGATATATTTGAAGTAGAAATCAATGATTCATTCAAACGAAGGAAGATCGCGTCTCCTTGAGAGAAAAGCAAATGTATCCAGGAAAAATAAACTCGAAGGTTATCAACATGTATAACAAAGCAACGGGACATTTTGAACGATGATTCTCGCGACCCGATGAATACGTCAAGTGAGAAAAATGAAAATTAAGGAACAAAAGATACCGTTAGATTCGAAATGTCGATACAACGATCGTTAGTAATTAGAATATTTTTGGGTGTCTTACCAAACACGGAGACTTAGTATTGGAGATTCCTTATAAATAAAACAGAAGCTATTATGCGTATCGTGTCGCTTTGAACTAACGAGACGCTGCCTCTTCCCTATATTCTATACCCTCCCTTCTACTACGTGATTCATCGTTACTTGCTGCTGGACATTAATTGGACACCACAGCGTCTCTCAACTTCCGTTATAGTCACTATAGATTCCAACAAAGAAATACCAAAGAGAAAGACAGATGCCTAGGTAAATAATAAGTACTATAATAATATGTCGATTATTACCAGTTCATTGATAAACATACGAACATTTGTCCATGCATAAAAAGATGATCTGTTAATGATCGAACTCTGCGTTGTTTACGAGAAAAGCTCCGAAAGGTCGCATTGGTCTGCTTGAATTTTCTCTCGTCTTATTTTCGATATTAATTTGGAATTCGTGAATACGGTTACGTGTAACCAATCAAAACCATACAGAAAATCCCTAGCGAATCGCTGTGCCGTGCCAGTTAATAATCACTTAAATATAGTACATACAATCTCTTTGTTATGTTGCCAAAGTTGCATTATGCCTGTAACGTTAATTTATTAACGATGCTTCGATCAAACGAATTCGACGAATTGGGGGACACTGACAGAGTAGGATATCGTCTATAATTGTTATCTATTCACATGCGTTCTACAGATTTATTCTTATGAGTTTGTGTGTAATTCGATTTGTATGCGATCATCCGTTGCAGTTGTCATGTGATTTTGATAAGCGTTTATCGGTGCGTGTTTGAAATGTATGCATATGCACACAAACAGTCCAATTTTATCATAATCAGTGGTTTTATACATATATTGTCAATTGCGTTCTAATCTTTCATTTTTATATTTTCCTTATTTTATATACTTCGATCAATTGTTTTGTACCGCAATTCCTCGAATTACGATATTGTTCTGCATTTCTAGACATTTTATACGGCCTTCTCAAAATGAGATATTTGAAATTTCCTAATTTGCATAAAACCATAATGGCGGTTTTGTGATTCGTTGATACGTACACTCCGATAAATGTCGCGTAAAATCTGAAAAATGATTTCCATGTCCGTGGAAAGTTGTATTATTAATACTGAAATATGCAAATGTAGAACAGTGTTACGGAGAAATTTGAACAATTGAGAATTGTGAAGTTTGTAAAGGCGTAACTATTCGAAGCTACGATTACTGCGCTGATGTTGCATTTTGATATCTGAGGATTCCACTTTAATCATACGACGAATGCATTCCAATATGAAGAGCGAGCGAGTAAAACGAGCAGGAAAAGCATCCGTGTCATTCTCAAATAACAGAATTTTTCACGGAAATCATTGTTCTTATAAAAGAATTTCAACAGTATCATTTGTTTGCATCTTTCTCATTTTTTCGTTTAATGTACAGACTAATTATGTAATCTGTTTGATTTGAAATATAAATATAATTTATGGTATAAATTGAAAATTTCGATAACAATAATTTCATGAAGTTGTACGTTTCAAACCGAATTTTCTATGCATGTGTATTTTGTGACTCTAAGATTAATCCTACTCCTTAATGAGATTAAAGTATGATGTAGTCTAAATAAAGTGAGAAAACACTTTACAAGAATTATGTTAACTTTCGAATTATGATATCGAAGTAATAATTCTAGAAAAATCTCTAGCTGAATTTAATCGTTGCGCGCATAATGCAATGTAACGAGTTTTCGAAGCGAAATGACATTTTCGTATTTATAATATAATCTTTAATAGCAATATCATTTGACGTTGAATCGTTCATTCTGATCGTTAAATATTGCCAAGTATCAGTATTTGAACTCTGAAACATTTTAGATATTTCATATGCACTTCGTCCTTCTTATTTTATTCTATCTAACGATAGGAAACGATGAAAATATCGTTCGTAAACAAAACAACCGTATCGTCTGGTAACTGTGTTTCTCTACTTTAAGGTCTTCCAATTGGGGACGTGGCATTAAAGTTTCTAACAGACAGTTTCACTTCTATGAATTTCTACGTCTATGGTGGAACCTTGATTTTTAAGTCTCCATAGACGTAGAAATTCGAAGACCTCAATAGACGTTTCGCTACTACAAAGTTATTTTGTGACTTAATCTTTGTACATTGTTTATTAATCTATTGAGGGAAAAATGTCTCGAAATACAATAGACAGTTTCGATGTCAGTAAAAAACAAATGGAAGTAATAGAATATAGAAATGCAAGGAGAAAAGTATTACGTGAGGATTATTTAAAACAGATTCATAATCCGATAAAACAAGAACTTTTGGTACGTATCTTTCATGGTTTAACCTGGTTTACTGATTTACGATTTCGAAGTACAAGGGAACGTACATAGAGAATTTACATTTAATTTGTTACTTCCTACTTAAACATTATTAAAGTCACAAACTTTATGCTGATACGTTCCTATGCCTTCAAAGATGTTAGAATTATGTAAGATATAATAGTTTGTGATGACATTTCTTATTATTTGTTGTAACGCGTGTCCACATTTCGTAGATGTACAGTATGGAGTAATTATTTATATTCTATATTCAATGTATAATTATATACATTACCTCTGTCTTAAATGTATAGATGGATCATGGAATACATAGATTTGGTATCATGAGAATTGCCAATGAATATCATTCAGCGATAAATGGTAGATGCCTTGTAGTGGGTATAGGTGGAACTCTAGCAGCTATAGGCATATTTTATTTGATTGCTAAGAATTACAAGGTAAATTAGTAAACTTTTAATGTTAACGTTGAAACACGTACAAGGTACGAAAATAATAAAGTTGATTGTTACAGAACAAGATAGAACATCAGTATAGAACTGGACAAATAGCTTATGCCGATAGACACAATAAATTTATGTAAAGAATATAAAAAATGCTTAATCTTAAATTCATTATTTATTAGTGTATTTGTTAATGTAGAATTATAATAATGAATTTCTTTCAAATATTACTTATACAACTTTTCTTACACTTTTACTTATATTCATCGATCTTCTAATTGCTTATCACGAGCAACTACTGCATCATCGAACTTAACCATGTATGTAGTTCCCTTATGCCAATGTGCAGTCACCTTTGCTGGCTACATATAAAAATGAAAATATTCTTAACATATATCGTATTTAATGATATATTAAAATAAACAATTATGTTAAGTTCGTTCATAAAATTATTTTCAGAAATCTAAGGTATGTTCATTCTATATTAAAATTCTGAAACATTAATGTTAACAATTCTTTACACTCACAAAACCACAGTCGCAAAGAATGGCTTCAACAATTCCAGCAATAAAAGAAGCACAGTTTAAACTTCCTTTATCTTTTGGTACCGATATGAATTTATTTACTAATGCTTCTTTCTCTATAATATAGTAAGTCCGCTCATCGTCATTCGCATGTTCTAATTTGTCAGCTTCACGACCAAATAACGATTTCCAGACTGTGCTTTTAATAAATAACAGAATATTCAACAATTTTATCTCACGTTTTCCTCCTTTCTCCCGAATAACTAAAAGATCTGTAATTCTGTGTCCAACTTCTGCGCCAATTTCCGCTAATCTAAAAATGAATATAAAGACGTTCGAATTACAAGTAATGTTTTAATTGGTCTGTTCAGTTACGTACTTGTTTTGTAATTCTGGTACGGTGTAAACTCTATTTTGACAGTACTGTACGAGTTCCGAAAACAAAAGTGCAAAACAACTCAGGCTAACCTCTCCTTTTCCTTTACTCAATGACTTATCGAGTATACTTGTTCGCGTTCGAACTGCCGATATTGTAATAGTTGTCATTTTTACACGCTAATTCTTCAAAAAAAAATATATATATATATATATATATATATCTTTATTAATAATATTTATGAAACAAGGTATTTAAATCAGTTTCAACATTGATCTTAAAATGCGTCTTGCTCTATATTCGCCATCTACTTGGAAAACTGAGTGTAGATGTGCCGCCACCAACTTCAAGAAGAAAAGACTAGGATGGTTATATTGCCAGTGAAAAGGACAGAGACAGTTCATTTGGCGGAGACTATGTGGCGCCACCATTCCAGGGTACGCGAGTCACATTTTCAAAAATTATTATCTTAACGACTTTTTCATAGATCGGAAACGACTATTCTCTCTTATTAATGAAATATTTATTAAATATTTCACTAAATACTCTACTGTTTTTTCTCAGCGGAGGAACTTTTTTATCGACCACAGATAGATCAGTTGGTAAGGTTTCCTCGAAATCAGCTATCGAAAATCTACATAATTTAGTCGAGTCTTCCCTGTCTGTTGTCGGTGGTGTTAGCACCTATCGATAAATTAGGAAACTACAAACGCCAATGTGAAACGCGACTACAGCGCCCTCTCATTCTTCAGAAATGAAAGAAAATCAGATCTATTTACCTTATAAATTTTATAATTCTATAAGGTACTTTCTCTTCTGAACCTTCCTCTCCGTTAAATTCTCAACGTTTATATAATCACTGTATCGCATCGCACGTAATTTATCATTCTTCGCCATACTTCAGTTTTCCGATTAACAAAAATAACGTGATTTTCCTGATCAATTTTATATCGTACACAACATACGGTTATTGATATACCATTGATTAATCAAGTGAAATAATGTTCTGGTCAAAAATTGACCTGGTAAAAATATCAAAAATTCGCATCGAGAGAATAACGCAAGATATACGTACGCAACACGTGAAAAACTACTGATATTATTACACACTACGATAACCAAACGATAACCAAACGATAGCTACGCGTACACCTTTGACCTTTTATGACAGATTGCATTAATCTATTAAAATTCTACCGTTTATCGGAACGCGAAAAAATGTTTTACTCGTTTCTCCGATAAATCGCTGTCAGTTATCTGTCATTTTACTGGACACCGCCATGTAGTATGGTAGGTAAGTTACAATGACAAAATTATATTAGTTTTTCTTAATCTGACCAACTGATATCTTCGAGTAGCAGCATTCGAGAGATACAGGTATGTTTAAGTGCTGGCGTAACAGGATTTAGAATTTCGAAGTCCCGTTGACTACGTCGTCATTTAAATCTACAGTTTCTACTTACGATCGCGTTGCTTTCGCAGAAGTCAATTTCATGTTAGAACAATGCTCAGAATTAACGGGCATTATTCAATCGGACATCTGTTCCGTACAACTTTCTTCGGGTTGCGTAAACGATCTGATCGCACAGTACCTTTGCGGTAGTTGCGCTTGCATCGGACCGGAAGAATAGCGCCGCCATCACGCATTGTTTAAAGTAACGGCACAACGGACAACAAATTTATATACATAACCTCTCGATAGAACGACCGGTATATCCTGCAAAGATCTAATGCTTAACTATCCGTGATTTCACGATCGTGTCTTGGGATTACCAATTGAATAATGATACGTAGCGTGATCTATTTAAGGGGATCGATTGCGCATACGCTATTGGACTCGGGACGTTTAGGTTCCATAGTAAAGTACCTTCGTAGGATAGTAGTACCTTCGCGCAGTAAGGAAAGCGAATATTTCTTTTCTCAATTCATTTGAATCAAAGCTCTTTCTTTCTATTATACATTCACGGTTATTTCATTGGTCACTTGAGAATCACCAAAGAAAGTTGTTCCCTTATAGTTCCCGTACGTCTGACGGTTAGGTTCTGTCCCTTATGACTCATGTGCTTCGTGCAACGACGGAACCTGCCCGAGAGAATGCTTCGTCGATATCTTAGAAACGGATGAGTGAAACGGTGCGAATGTTCGGCAAAGAAAATTCCTGTCGCGATTCATTCGTTATTCGGCTACGCGAGAGCTTATTTGTTTTCTCGTTTCATTATCGTGGGAAGATTGAGACCACTTAACGGGAGAGAGACAAACGTCCAGCGAATAATACAGAGACACAAAGGGGGAGACCGATTAAAAAGGGGAGTTTGATATTGCCGCGCCGCCTGCGCGCAAGTAAAATCAATGAGTCCACCCGGCGAATGTGCCAGTGCGACTCCACCGACGTCGCGACGGAGCCGCGTCCGGTCTTTCCCTATCTTTGGTAATTTCGCATCTTCTTCTCGGAAATTCGTGTTATCGTGCGATAAGAACAATGTAAGATTAAAAAGATTGCCATGCCGAGTCAGGAAGACATGGACCTTTGTACCGACAAGGTACTGTCCAAAGGAAGAATACTTCAGGAACTGACGAAAGCTGTCAAATTGGTAAGTGGCTGTCTGCTCGAGGCACAGGGACGACGTATCAAGGCCATACGTCATATATTGTATACGTATACGTATATACGTGCACGTACATAGAGAGAAAGAGAGAGAGAAAGAGAGAGAGAAAGAGAGAGAGAGAGAGAGACAGACAGCAGACGCACACAGAGACATGCGGCTATATGCACTTTCGTATCGCGGATTTAAAGTTACACCGCGATCCGACACAATCTCTCCGACCCAATTACTTTCGATCGTGATCGTCGTTTATCCCGAGGAAAATGTTGCCTTCGTGTCCTCTCTTCGCTAGAGATCCAGAAAAAAGGAACGAGTTTCTGAGAATACTTAACCGTGACGGAACAGCTGAAATCGAAGATGCACACAGCCATGAACGCCTAGCGTGTCGGTTTGACGCTGCTTGACGCTGTTTTATTGTCTTCCTCGTATTTTTGTAGGCGAGACGTAAATACATGTGCTCCTGCCGTCATCACTGGTTCTGGTATCTCCCAGCAACTTTAACGTTGCACCTTGCGCCGTCCGCGTAGTTGTGCATCTTTTGCCTGCTCATTTCTGCACCTGTCACACCACTGTAACATTTGGTATTCCGCTGTTCGGGATCCATGTGGATCGATGAATCCGCTTCGTGTCATCGCGACTGCTGCACTTATCTTGTTCGTGGGATAATCCGTGGATATTACTTTCTCCGTCTCGTCTGGTTAAATGCGCGATCCTGTCCGCGTTGTTACACGCAGTTTGTTTAATCTTTGTTTATCGTGTCGCCTATGCACTATTTACGATGACAGCGGAAAGTTGTGGAATTGTTGGTCACGTGTAAAAATTTCATTTATTAACCGTTAAGTAAATTCCAGTAAAAATTTATTTTAAATTTTATCCTATCGAATATCTAAATATTGTCCCAGAATCTTTGCGACGCGTAATTCTTCTCAAAAGATCTTTGAATTTAACGATGTCTATGGAAAATAAAAGAAGCTTTATTCTGTTCCAATTAGGTATATGCTCAGAGTATATATAGAACAGTAGTCTTGGATGGAGATTCTTGGTTGGTCTACTGGTTAGATCGAGCCTTGCGCCATGGACTACGTATAGAACGACATGGATATTGGGGAACCGCTCGTGAACTTAGTCATCAAGATACCGTTGTAGTGATACACGCTCTTCAAGGTGTCCTAACTTCCATTGGGAAAGGTTTGTTCGATTAACAGAATGAATACCGACCTTCCGAAGGCCCACTCTAGCATATGTTTTTAATATATTTACGCATCGGTTATTAAAGGTTCGATATGTTATAGGTCGAGCATGGCTTTACCACACGCTTAGCGAAGGCAGCTTTGAAAGTTATTTAGCTTGTTTGTTACGAGATACGAAAACATTGAAAAAGCAGTACTTTCCACATGCACTTGTACGAGATGCAGATAAGACCAACCAGTTAGTTAATCTTCTTGCAGGTCTAGAGAATGTATCCTTCACGTTACAATTGGTACGTATTTTATAGAAACAATTACGAATATTTACCAAGTTTCAAGGTGTATCATTTTTTTGTTGATTTTTAAGAAAATTCTTTTTTCAAATTTCTATATTTTATGTAAGATTTCTATCCATTCCATTGGTGTACTTTGACAAGATGCATTTAATGCAGCCTGTTTGGAAAGCAGTGATAGTCACATTGTACGCAACAGACAACTAGTCTTTTCTTTTTTGGTCTTATGCAGCTACAATAAAAGCCAATGACGATATCGACGTGTGGTCGTCGGCATTTTATATTCATCTGTTTTTGTAGTTTTTACTTTATATCCCTCGTATTGATATTAGTATCACCCCCTGGTTACAATTATCTCGATGATAAATAATGTCTGTCACTTAGCAGGAGTTGCATGCCGAGTTGAATCTGTTTATATGAATTAAGGGGCAATAAGTTATCGCTTGTGTGTGCACCTATTTTTCATTTATCCTGTATCACCTTCTTTATTTATTCATGGAAAATCTTTGATGTTTGTACTTATGTTTATTAAAGAACTACAATTCATTTGTTTATGCATTCTGCTTTTTATCGAGTATTTTATACACCTGAAACGTAAATGAAACAGATTAGAGGCGAGGAGGGATTCGTTTGAACTTAAAAATTATTTACTGCACAGGATGTAACATATCTGGACACTTGTAATTATATGCCTCAGCGGCCTATGAGCGTAAACTCTTCTGGAACCATTTTATCGTTACATCTTAGATCGTCCAGCGTATCTTCGAGTCTAGCTTCTCCCGGTGACAGTGGAGTTGCTTTTGACAGCGATATGGATCTTGCGAATGAGACCGACGCCAGCAGTTACAAAGAGGTAAACTTTTCAAGTGTAATCCACTCGGAACGATCAACATTCATTTCATATAATAGCGTTTCACGTTTTCAGGAAGATTTTAATTTGGAAGAAATTCCGAAGTACCGAAACAACAGGTACAAGACAATGATAAATAATCGTATGGAGGACAATAAGAACTTTAGCTCCAGTGATTCCAGCGAGGACGGAAAAACGCCGACACAGTCACCTGGATTGGTCAATAAATTTCAAACTGCAACAGTGACGAAGAGCGATATAGCCAATCAAAACTTAACTAGGGAACTTGACGATAACGAGCTTAATTGTTCCAGTCTGGACACTCTGAAGGATTATGATTTTTATAGCAAGAGTCTAGACGAATCCAAGTTAGATAAAACAACAAATAATAAAATTGACAATGGGGTCAAGGAGATAAATAAAAGGAGCACTTACTACAGCGACGGTAGTTACAGTTTCAAGAGAAACCTTGATCCCCGAAATTCGTATGTGATCAATAACGACACGAACCTCTTAGAGCTTAGTATGACCATTTCCGATTGCGAGAATATGGAAGCACCCTACGGTATTCTGAATACCATCAACATGGCGGACGCTAGTATTTTATCCTCTTCCAGCTCGGAAGCTCTGGTGCAACGTAGACAGCGCAAGAAGAAACGCGGAGAAAGTAAGAAACGCGTCAGCTTCCACGAAGATATTCTGAAGACCATGAAGCTGGAGGACGATGAGAACTACGCCGACTTTTCCATGAGCTTTCTGACACCTAGCTCGGTTCAGAAGAAGAACGCGCAGAAAGGAAGATACAGCTGGTGCGGCCACGGTGATTCGCCGTACGTCCAGAAAACCGTCAACAGCAGAAACGCGCATTCCGACTATTATTCGTACTCTTCGTCGTCGAGTGTTTTCGACAGCGACAACGAGAAAAAGATGTCGGGCAAAACGTGCGCGGAGTCGTTGTGCCAGAGCCACTGTAAGTGCGCTTGCGGATTGTCGATCTCGGAGCGCGGTGTACCGGAAGGTCAAGAGGACCCTGGGAAGTCGTTATTACCGAAGATGGAGATCGAACTGGAGGATAACGAAGCGCAGGAGGCGTACATAGTGGAGAAAGCCTACGGGAATATAGTCGAGGATCCTCCGTCGAAAGTTCAAATGCCTTATTCTTCTAACTCAAAAAAGTATCCTTCTTCCAGCGATTGGTCCCATGTAGATAGCGTCGTCACGTCCGATTCGGATGAGCGTCGGAACAGTAGGCACTTAGCTTCGCCCTCGAAGAAACGTAACATGACCTCTATATTAACCGGAGAAAGTAGTAATAAATTAGCGCCCCCGCCTTTGAGGCAAGCCTCGTCGAAAACTTCGTTGCTGAATAGATTCTTGAAGTCCATCACCGAAAGGAAATTCGAGATAAAGAGGAGCAAAAAGTCACCGAAAGCTAACCCGTTGTACATCAAAGGCGTGAAAACCAGCTACGATTCGTTCAAGGATTTCAACGATAATCTCGACCGAGAGATACAAGAGAACGTGGCGGCGGAGAAGCAGGAGTTCAGCGGAGAGAAAGTCAGCCTGAAGCTGCGGGAGCTCTTCAAGAAGCACATTTACCGAGACAAGACCGAGGAACTGTACAAAGTGTACAAGGTTCGGAGCTCGTACATGACGAATGGCGATAATAAACCGATGATCGCTTTACTCACCGACAAAACATTGTACTTGACCGGTTCGAAGCCGGACCATACTTACAGCAATCAGTTCGTTATTCCTTATAACGAATTAGACGTGATTATGGTAAGTTACGTTCAGACGATCATCTTCTTTGGAGAGTTGTTTTTGCCTTTGACAAATGGTTTTCCAGATCGGGCCAAATGCACAAACGATATTGTTGTCCAATGCCGATTACGAGATGCAGTATCTGTTCTCCACGGGAAGCTCTCAGACCACGTCGGAACTGATAGCCTATTTGGAGATGGCTATGAGAAGGTCTCCGATGAAACCCCGGCTCCCGGCAGTCAAAGAATTGAGTTACGAGGACATGCACATTTTGAGACACTCGATACTCTGCGACACTGCTGTGCATCCGGTGAGTGATAAAATCAACTTGTTCAATGGAGACGTTGCGATTAGACATCGTACGTGACTGTCGAACGTTTCAGGATGAGAAAATAGAACATTACAATCTGATATACATGGAGGACGAATACATGTCACCTCCGAGCACACCTTGCGGACCGACGAAGGAAGGCGATCTGATGTACAGACCGCACACGTACCAGCAGCTTCATCCCAACGCGCCGACCAATCCGTGGGAAGCTGGCTACTTTGTTCTTAAAGGTGGCGTCGTTTACATGTTCACGGACGCGAATCAACGGCTTCCCAAACGAGCGATTCCATTGAAGGGTGGTCTCTGTCAAGGGTGTCGAAGAATCCCGAATTCCCATCGACCGCACACCTTCGAAATCCTCCTGAAACCGAACAAAGCCTTCCAATTTGCTGCCCCAGACGAATACGTCGCTTCCGAGTGGCTGCAAAGTTTTGTTCAGAGCGCGTCGGGATTGTTCGACGCGTCGGAGAAACGAGAACCAATGCCGTGTAGCCTTATCACGACTACCAAACACTTGGTTGCTATGAAAGAAGTATTTCCTGGTAAGCAACGCGGACAAACCCTCTCCTGTGCCTCTGTCGAAGACCTTACAGCCTTCAGAGTACCTGTGACGCAACAATCTTGGTGTATACTGGTAAGCAGTCGACCGAACCTCGACGTTGCGTGATCCCGATGCACTGATTTCTTATCTTTTCACATAAAGGAGTTCTCGTGTCGAGAAGTTCACGAAAGCAGCGGCGATTGGGTGATATATTTCACAAACTATACGGAATTGTGCACCTTCAGGGAAATTTTGGAAACGCTGTGGGCCGACGCGAGTTTGGTACGTTGCAATTTAACAAATAATAACGTGTACAGCAAGCGAGTGTAGAACATAACTCGAAGGAAATGACAATTATATCGTGGATTCGCTACACTAAATTAGTGGAAGTAGAATTGATCTGTATATTTTTAGGGAGAGTTTCCTATGGTAACGCTTCCACCAGAAGACAAACTCCACCGGCGTTGCTCGGATGCTAGTAAAGAGCTAGAACTTGCATGGCGATATTTACTACCCTTGGAAATTGATTAATTATCGTTAAGGTGTATTAATAGACAATAGTTACGGCATCGTCATATTCAGTAATAGAAAGAGATGAGACATAAATGTTGGCGCTCCGGTTCTCGGAAGCACCGGTATATAGCGATACAATAAAACAACTGCAACGGCTAAAGTAATTCATTAAGCATCGATGCGACGAATGTTCAGCTACCCTTGAGATCGATCTCATGTTCCTCCGTATCAGTAAGGAGTGGTGAACGCGCGAGAATTATACACAAATACAGATATTTAGCAGTACCTCTAATATCGATGTGCTAATCCACTAAAAAGGTGCAATATCTTTTTAATAACGTAAACAACCTTGGTAATATATCGTTGACGCTGGATTGTAATATAACGGTGAGCGAGTAAGATCATTGTACCGGTTATATGGATGTCTATATTATTCACATATATAAGAAGAATTAATCCGCAATCGAGAATGCACCATTGATATCGAGTGATTTATTCTGAGAAGAAAAAAAAAAGATTCTAATAAACTGGCAGCAAGGTATAGAGCAGCTTTGACAAGAAAAGAATATTCTATATATTGCTTTCGAAATAATTGTGCGACGTATAGTTAACATTCCTTATAGCATAATACCGATGATAATACTAATTATAAATCGACGACATAGCTTTCTAACTTTATTTTTAATCTCTTTCTTTCTATAAGCGTATGCTCTCTCGCTTTAAAATTATCAATTTTAGTTATAATAATATTGATAATGATGATGATGATGATAATAATAATATATATATATGTATATATATTATTTTCGACTGAAAATAATTAAATATATATATATTGTTCTCAATTGTACAGATATGAAATCAATTAATTGCGGAATATAATTATATCATATCTTAAGGTGCTTTTATTTAATAATTCGATATATTGAAAAATGTTGAAGTGTATCAAGAAATCTTAACGCAGGATAGTTTTATTACGGTAAACGAAATTTTTATTCTTTTTAAATATCAATTGTACGTTTCCAGGTGAAAAAGAAAAAAAGCGATTTCATGCACCAAAGAGATTTCGTTTTTCGCGTGAATTAATTTGTACGGTTCAAATGAATCTGTATGTCCTTTTTTTAAGATTATATTTTGCGTTACCAGTACTACATGATTCGATGCAGTTTGTAAATCACTGTGAATAAAACTGCAATATCGTATGCATCGTTCTATGTAGTTATGTCTAATTGTGATAAAGCATTTATACGTTAAAATATCAAATTAACAACACTTACTAATTTGCGTAGTTGTAACATGAGATTTGTGTGACTTGTTGTTACACGATAAAAAGAAAAATGAAAAACATAATCAGTTTCTTGTGTTAGTTTCTAGCGGGCTTAAAAATGGAATTTTTGCACAATGTTGGCATCGGCA